TCAAACTGCATGAGAAATGAGGAACTATTTCCTTATGAAGCAGAAATCCTGTCTCACACAGAGATTTACCATGAGGAAGAACTGCATTTTCTTTTCCTAGGCAAGCACGCTGTACCTTGACTCTTAAGACTACAGCTCTGTCAGAAGTGGCAGGTGCAAAGGTGCAAAGTCTGAGGGGAATTGAGCTCTCGTATTCCCTTGGGAGCAGAGGGTGCTCCAAGGGATAATGCTTAAGACCCAGCAGTGTCCCTGAGGCAGGAGGAAGCCCAGGCTTGCTGCGGTGCCGCACGGTTGGTCGTGCACAGGTCACATTTAGTCTCAGTTGCGACAGGCCACAGGTTTGTGTGCTCAGCCCACCTGGGCCTCTTGGCGCTGCTCTGATGCCAGCAGTGCACAGGGCTGGGTGTAACGCCTTCAGAGGGAATACAGAGCCATTTATAGTCCATGTAAAAACCTAAAGGAGTCCAGTGCTGCCATCCTTGCTCTGACATGTGTCTGCAGGCTGGTAATCAGATGTAACCATGAAATATCTGCACACCCTGCTGCAAAAGGGCACTTTCCTCTCTCTTTAAAGGGCTGTTAAGATCTGTGAGGAAATGTCAGCAATGAAGGAATGAAGCAATGTTCTCCTCCTGAGAACACTGGGTGGTAAAAACTGGAAGTCAATCTCATGTCTGGGAAGATTGATGTGCTTGTGGGTTCTGTATTCCACTCATGTATTATCCATTTTCCTACATGTTTCCACCTTATCTGACAGAGGACACAAAAACACATCAAGAGAACATGTAGAAACTGTAGCTAGTTTCTTAGTTAAACCTGATTTTTCAACATAGGCAATCAAATCTCTCTCTTCTTCAATGCTCTTGCCCAGTAACATCCTGAAATGGGTGCTTCTTTATTGTATTATATGTAACTACATTGTGTATTTTGCTGGCATAATTTGAACCATACTGAACTCCTCTAATAGTGTGACATGATGCACCTGTAATCCAACAGGTTGAGCTGACTGCAGACTTCTTTTCCTCTCCCTCCCTCCTTTCCACTCCATCAGCTGTAGATCCCACCCTACATCCTTTGTTAAAACAGCCTGATTGAGCTGAAATCCTCACTAATGAGCATTTTTGATATACAGCTTTCAAGAGGAGAATCTGGAATTTCCTGGAAAAATACCCCTTTATTGAAAAAGGCCAGGAAAGGAAGAGCTTTCTCCAAGAAATCATTCCCTACCTTACTACTGCTACTGCTTCCCTTGAAGCAAGAAGTTTCCCAGGAAACTTCCCTTTCTTCCTCCAAGCAGATTTGGTTCTCAAATTCAGCTGATTTCTACAATTATTCTGAAATGGTACTTTATGGACAATTTCTAAGGGGATGGGGGACCAGCGTAAAAAGTATCAGAGCCTACAACTTCGTCTTCCTCACCCCTCAAGTAGAATTAACTTCTGACTCAGAATATTTTGACATCACAAACTTTCATTCCACATGCCCAGGGACCAGCCACACAGAATTGCAGACACATGGTAGGCAAAACTACTGCAGATGTATTTTTGATTCAGGTTAGGGGGGGGGACTACAGCTCTCCCAAAGCAACATGAGGGAGAGGAAAATCCCACTGCAGACTTCCCCTTCCTGCATAGTGCCTAATACAAAGGGAGGTTGCTAAAGCAACAGTTTCTCTGTGTATGATTAGACCTAGTCATGCACATGGGCTTCATGGTGAATCAGGATCAGCTTTTAGAAAGAGGTGGAAAAGGCTCCTTCTTCTCCTTATGTAGCTTTGACTACTCAGCTTGCACCTCTGGGAGCAGCAGCTCTGAATTCACTCGCTCCTGGTCTCTGACATATCCTGCAGCTATCTGGACCTCTGGGGAGAGCTCCACAGCTCCACTGGAACCACTCATGCAAATTGCCCTCTTAACAACTATAAAGGAATACGATATTTAGCATCAACCCACTCAGCCCCCGCCAAAGTACTTCAGGCTGAGGTCTTCAGCAGCTCAAATGTGCTGCTCTCTGCAGGGTGCCTGGTCAGGAGCAGTCAGCTGCACCTGCAGGTCCTGATAGTGTGGCAAAATATAGCCCTTGTCCTGCACTCCAGTAAAGAGGAGAGGAAAATGCTCTGTCCAAAGCCTGGCTGTGCAATCTCAGTGGGCTTGGAGCAGCAGGAAGAGCTGGTGCATGTTGTTGGTATGGCTGTCAGCTTTGGGTCTGAGGGCAGGAGCAGGGAGATGATGGGAAGGGATCACTTACAGCAAGGAGAGGCCCATTTGTGGGCACTTGACCTTAGCAGCCAGGGGGAAACACAAGGTACAGTGAGATCCCCACAGGACAGTCTTCCCACCTGGCCTTTGGGGTTGCTCCTATCAGCGTATCAGCCAGTTTGAACCTCAGAGTTCAAAGCTGCTGCCCCGCAGCAGAGGACAACAGCCTGCAAAAGGACACATGTCCTGGGCGAGATATGCAGGTAAAGAGTTGGATACCAGTAAGGACAATTATTTTTATTTCACTGTTTAATTCAAGGTTTCTCTGTTCCCTCTGTTGATGCTGATGAAGATTCATTCCAGTTCAGAAGCTGTCACTTAGGAGAAAGGAAATAACACAGTCTGGCTCCCCTCTTTTGGCATCTAAACAACATCATTCCTCAGGAGCACTCAGGAGGCCAAGCAGCATGTAAATGCTTTCCCTCATGGTGACACAGACAGAACTTTATGGTCCTACAGCAACCCCCTTCCTCCCTTTGACCGGTCACAGCTGCACGTACCTTTAGTGTAACATCATGGTTATGTAATGCTGACTCTCCCACTCTGCTCTTATCATGCCTCTCTCCTATTTGTGCAAACAGAAGCCAAGACGGAGCCCAACAATGGCCTCCAAGAGCTCAGCCATTTCTCAGCCTTCTTTTTCCAAGCCTGCACTGCTCCCACTGGCACAGAGGTGAGCTGGACCACCAAACATCCCTGAACTGCAGCCCAGGAAGGCACAGTTCTCCACACTCCAACCAGAATGACCCCAGGAAGGCATGAACACACTGGCTGCCCAGCACATTCCTGCACCCAAGTGATGCACACCCTGCTGGGATGAGCACTCGTTCCCAAATACATCACTGTATCTCTGGGCCCCCCTCCTTTCTAGGTCAGCATGACTTCTGCAATCATCCTGTTCACCAGGACTAATGGAGCACAGATGTACTCTCAAGGGAGTGAGTGTGAACCAGAACCCTCCTCTCTGGAATGCTTCCTGGGAGGAACCATCTCCTCACCATCACGTATCCCAAAATACCTAAGGAGAAGGCAGAGCAGGAAATTAAACAGAAGAATGAGTTCCTAGAATTTTTGCCACTTTACTCCTTTAAGGTTCTCAAGCAGGATTTATGATCATCTTCCCCAGAGAGGAGTGTTGTGCTAACAGGTAGGCAGGAAACTACCACAGTGAGATTCAGATCTGTGATGCTTTAATTAAAGCACAGGTAAACTGTGAACAGCAGCAGAGCTTGAGTGTTTCTTAGTCACTCATCTTAGTCACTGCTGTTTGCCTTGTAGGCTGCCAGGTGTCACAGCCTGCTCTCCACACCAGCCTGCAGGGCACAGAGCGCAGGAAGACCTGGCTGTTGTGCAGAGCTGTGTCCTAGTGTTCGTCCACAACTGAGGGATCCTGGCGCATGGCAGCAGTGAAAAGGTGCACCTGAACATGTGACTGGACTGCACCAGGGCAGGAAGAAGTGTTTTGTTCCATACTGGAGTCTAAAATGTATTCAAGAAGAGAAATGAGCCTCTAAAAGTATGGCCCAGGCAGATTCCCCCAGTGTGGAGGGAAAGACCCATCTTTCTGATCTACCGCCTTTGGCAGGGAGTGCAGCCAGAATGCAGAGCACAGGTGACCATAAGCAGCACTAAACAGTGGAGGGTCTGGCAGCACAGTACTGTCCATCCTGGACAGTGTGGGATCTTCCCTGTGACCCTGACAACAAAGCAACAGCCAGAAGTGGTGCAGTGCTGCTGGCCATGGCTGCCATCAGCAACAAAAACACAGAAGCCTTTTTTAATATTGCAAAGACAGAAATGAAATCCTTCTCTTCTTATGCAATGCTTGCCCTTCCTCAGCAGAGATCAAATCAATATGGGACCAAGCAAAGTCAATGGTTTATTTCAAGGGGTTTTGAATTGGGCTTTGTAGGCAAAAAGGCATCAGCCTTGTTTCAGACTCCAGGAAGACACATTGGTATTTCCATTCCACATCTATTTGTAGCACAAAAATGTGACTTTGTTCCTTTTTAGTCCTGTTTAAATGTTACATTACTTTAAAATAAGGTCTGTCTGGAAAAAACAATCAAGTTTGGAGATGGAATTATCCCTGGAGAAGCTTGGAGATCCCCCTAGTTAGTGAATGAGGATCACCTTGAAGGAAGTTAAGAAGAACCTTGTGGTTGTAATTCCCCATCCTTTCTTCTGGAGTCTGTCAGTAGCTGTGTTGTGCTTGATGGTGATCCCAGCACACGCAAACATGCACACACAAACACATGCACACACATTCTAACACAGCCACCAAACCCCCCATACAGTCATCACCTTACTGCACAGCCTGGAGAACATGAACAGCAGCAGAAAGGGAACCTTTCCATAATTTCTGGGGAAATGCTGCAGTTGTAGGCCAACTTACATAACTGATTTAGCTGAACAGAATTGCTTTCTGCCTTTAATCTGCTCAACAGTTTATCTTTGCAGTCGTGATCGGCTGAGCTCTCTTTAAACCGTTATGGATTAGCGTTCTGCTGAAACACGTTAAAAGCTTAGCTTTGTTTATTTTTGTCAAGAATGGGGGAGGGATATTAGGTTAAATGTTCAAGCAGCAGTTTATGAATGGCTGTTTCTCTTGCACAGCAATCGATATGCTCAGGTACCAAATGCAAGGCACAGCTAAATGCTTTGAGTGGCAGCACCAGTGGCTGGAATAGGAATATTTGTGAACTTACTGTTAAAAATGAAATAAAAAAAGAAGGAACTTAATAAACTTGCATGATTATTTTAATCTATAAATACAAAATGTAATCCAGCATTCAAACAGTTCATCACACCCACCAGCTCTATATGGAAGACCAAAGAGTAAATTATCTGAAAACTTAATTAATAAGGCTGGTTGAGGATTTTACTAAGTTTGCATTATTGATGTAATTTGGAAACAGAAATCCTGCCAAAAGCAATCTTTCTGTCATTCAGCTGCAGGAAAACAATACACCATAATGGAAATAAACCACCAAACAACTGGAACCTCATCCACACCACTTACAAAGAGGTGCTCAGATAATATTAGCCAGCTGTTCAGTTAATTTTCACAGTGGATTCATCAACTATGCAAGTGGTTGTTCCATTAGAACATGACTGTATGGATCCAGGTTCAAATTTCTACTACAAACTGATGATCACAATATACCAATCTAAATTAAATCCAACAATTACCACACTTCTTTGACCTCTGTGTAATCAAAATGATTTGCAGATGCCAGCCTGGAATGGAGTAAGAGGTTGTGTTCCTGAGTGCTGCCAATAATCCTCTGGAACACTATTTCAAGGAAACACTGATTCTGTGAACAGTTGTGCTGGCAACCCTATAATCTTGGAACTTTCTTATCTAAAATGGAGGAAGTAGGCACTTTTACATTCTTCAGAGCAACACAGACACTAGAGAAGTTCAAAAAATAGTGTCAAGTAGTGCTAGGAAAAAATAAAAACACAAACCTGGGAAAGCAATTCAGAAAAAAAAAGGAGGAAAAACAACTTCTTTGTAATTTGTCTGTTGTTTGTTTTGCTTTCTTATGAGATCTTAATTCTGCACATTCCAGTGAATGGCCATTTGCTATTAATTTATCTTCTTTTTGACAGCAAGTGGAGCACCATTCCAGAGTTTCAACATTCCCTTGATGCTGCTCTGCTTAATGCTTGTGTGCTATTTAAACAAAGCATATTCCAACCAAATCTGACTATATATGGAATTCCCTGACAAGTAAAACTTTGGATGCCATACAAAAAAGAGCCATGAAAACAGAATGCACACAAACTCCACTCCAGATTGCACAAACTGGGCATGTACTACACCAGGCTCTTGGTGGCAAAGGTCAGGTACCCAGTGTGCCCAACCACCTCCCTCAGTGGCACGCCACTCTTGAACTGCACAGTCCCTTGCTGCAGATTAGCACACGGGCTACCTTGGTGTGATGGCTTGCTGCTGTCAAAGCCAGTGCTAGAATTATCCTCAGCTGCTTTTCCAAGGTCAGGGATTTGCAAACTAATTGTCCTTACATTGTAGACTCGGAGCAGAATTTCCAAGGTGTTAATCTCTGTAAAACCATATTCTTCCATTGCTAGGCAGGTTCTTTGAACTTGTTCAATGCAGGGGGAGAAAGAGCAGATGCGGCCACCTGCAAAATAAGACAGGTAGTGGAAAAGAGAGCAAAAGCCAAAATGAAGCTCTTCCCATCTTTTTTCAAATTCTCCCAGATGCCCATAGAATTACTATTATACAGACAAAGTGAAAACATTCTTCAAGAAAATCTTCACAAGGCAACTTTGTTGGTTTATAGTGTCAGCACAAAATCAAACACGGACAACTCTACAGCATGCTTCAGACCCTTTAAATAAACGACAACAGCAACTTCATTCATCTTCTACATCTAATGTTGCCCTCGACATTTGTTCACAGCAAAACTGTTAAAGTTGATCCCTTTAGAGCAGTGACTCTTTTGGAATCACTCTCCACTGTTCTGGACTGAGGCACCAAACTGCAGCTGGCACGTACACAAAGCCAGAAGTCATTCTCCACACGCTGCACAGCGCTGGAGCCCCAGCGCGTGTGCACGCGCCCCTGACAAAAGCAGCTGTGTTTAGTTGAGAATGATGGTATGCATGGACAGAATAAAGGGATCTCTCCAGGCCATAGATGGAGTGCTGTTAAGGCCTCACCCTTTTAGTCAAGCTGGCTAGCATGTCTCCTGAGCATTGAAGTTTACTGGGTATCACATTGTGCAGGCTTACAGTAAATGCTGTAAAACTCTAGGACAGAACTTCTAAGTGACAAACCAACACTTGTCTCCTTGTCTGTGCACAGTTCTGATTTTTGATTCTTAGTACAGAGTATTAATAGGCCCCCTACACCTTCCTAAGTGCTACAATGTCACCTTAACAGCTGAGAATAGAATGATTCAGATTTACTCTGAAAAGCCACAGCCAAATCAGATCAAAGAATTATAAGGACACTGTCTGCCATAAAGCCAGGGCATGTGCTTTCACCCAGGACACAGTGTCCCCAGGGAAACTGCCCTTCCTGAAAAGCTTTTGTGCAGGAGGAAGGAACACTGGGCAATGCAGCTTCAGCTATTGTTTCATTTATCACAATTAGATGAAAATGCCTGCTGACCTGATTTGCATTCCTTCCCAATCCTCTTCTGGACTCCAGTCAAACCTTCCAATACCAGCCATCTAAGTAGTTAAAGAACCCATGCAAGTCAGAGCAAAGCATCCTGCTAAAAATAGAGGCAATGCTGGAGCTACATGAAGCCTGCTTTATCTCAAACTCCCCTTTTTTTTTTCCCTTTTCGTTTCTAAAGTCAGATCTCTAAAAAAAGAAAGCATCAGGTCTGAAAGCGTCACTGTAGCACTCTAGTTACTGTGCAGCAATGATGTGCTGGGTACTGCCTGGGAAAGAACACTTTCCACAACCATTAATCCACCATACGCTAAGTAGGATTTAATTTTAGTCCTCAAATAAAGTCTCAGCACCAAGGGGTTCTTATCATGAATCTTCAGAACAAAGTACCCTGGACAAGTAATTCCCTGGAGTGACAATTAAACCCCAAATCTAATAATCACCTGCAAAATTAACGCTGGTATGTGTCTTTATGAACCAAGTCTGTTGATGCTGATTTAATTGCACGCCCAGTCCATTAACTCCCATGAAATTAGATTTGTATGTTCATCAGGATGGCCAGCACTACCAAAGTGTTCCTGAATCTGACAGGTAATCCTTTCTGGCCAAAGAACTTACACACTTCTACCATGCTTGCAGATGTAAAACAGAAAAGCTCAGGAAAAAAATTCTGTTACATAATTAGAAAGCTACTATGATGCACGCATGTTACAAAGAAAGAATTTATATTCTTATTGTGTAGGGAAATGAACAAATGTCTGACTTAACTAAATGTCAGTTCACAATAACTCTTTGTCTGCAAAGCAAGAATCTGCCGAGAGACCAGAGACTACTACTTCATTCAGGCTTTTTGGTTTTGAGGTTTTATATTGCAATAAATAAAAAAAAATATATTTACATTTACAGTAACTCTGTTCTTATTTATTCTGACTCTAAGGGTTTGAAAATATGTTTAGGCTTTTGAATTCACATGCTCTGGATTTACAGTCAAAAACTCAAAGCCTGCACACAGCTGTTGCCATACAAGCAGCAAAGCCACCTACGGTTCTAGTCAAGCCTTGAATTAAAGGCAGAGCACCCTTCCTCTTGCCTGAGGCTGGTCAGCTGAGCACAGCACATCAACACCAAACTTGGTGAAGATTTATCAGGCTGCCTCCTCACAACTGCTGGGGGAAGTAGGGTTACAGAAAACAGGCTTTCAAGCTGTTTGGTAAGGAAGAAAGCTCCTGCTTGCAGTAGCAAATATCCAAAGGGCAAGCACAAAAAATAAATTTACTTCCTGCACTGCTGGAAATTTCTCAGGTGTGAAAGATGAGAAAACAGTGAACTGCTGGTATTCCATCTAACTGAGGCCATCCAATGGGTTTTAATAGTTCTGTCGATTTTGTTTTCCTCTTTCATGCCTATTGTTCTCATTATTTGTATACATCCCTCCCAAATAAACATACCTACAAATGGCTTAGAAGAAAACCCATCAAGCATCTGATCTTACCAATCTTAACAAGTGAGAGGAGGGTCCCTCCCCTCTCATTTTTCCTGTACTGTGAGGCAGGCCAGATCTGACTTGCAGCTACAGGCTAGAATTATTTGATTAAGCAGATATTAGGAGCAAAGATTGGAAAGCTACAGTTAGCAGAAGGCTGAAGGCAAAAATGAAATTGCAGTTCCAGACTGCGAAAGGCTGTCTAAAATAGAAACATTTGTTAAGTTTCAATTCCTATGGTGTGTTTAGACCAGCAGAAAAAAAAAAAAGTAGAAGACCAGCACTCAGAAGGACATGTTAATTTGACCCAGGAGCAGAGACGTTTTCATCTTTAACAGAGCTGATGCTTCTGAATTCTGCACACTGTGGGCTGCCCTCTGTACCCAGCTGGACTACCAGCTAGGCAACACCCCTTCTGTCACAATTACCAAACAGATATAAATCTAGATTTCAGCATTCACAGTTCTCAGACTCTGTGAGAGCCCTCTTGTCCTTTAGACACCAAGAGGCTTTTAGGCCTTAAAGGACTTGAATATGCATTACTTTGTCTTGCCATGCCAAGGATTCCTTAGTGAATGAAGAAAAGACATGAACTCCCTCGCTCTCTTCTCCTCTCTGGGGCATGTTGCTCACAAAGGGGTGGACTAGACTAGAGAGCAGTGAAAAACATCTGAATGGAAACTTTTTTGTACAAATTGGGTTTGAGCTCTTTCAGAGGTCTCCTTTTAGGAAAGCTACCGTTCCTAAATTTGGTTAATGAGATCTGTGTGTCATCATAAATTGATATAGTAATTATGAGAGATTAATCCTGTTCACATTGGGAAGCTGTGTGAGCTTTTTGATCTGAAGAGCTGTCTAAAAATGTGTTTATTCATGTATAATGCATCTGACAAGTGCTACAGTTGAGGAGAAGAGAATAATGAGACTCTGTGAAAGACTTAAGTTTTTTTTCTTCCTTCAGTTTTACAGGCACCAAGTTAGTTTGAAGCATTTAATGAAGAGGTTAAATGTCCTGAATCCATAGCCTGGAACAAGCCCACACAGTCCTGGCAGTCACTGCAACCAACAACAGGGTAGAGAGGACATGAAAATAGAAGTACAATTCAGACTGGGATGATCAGAAAAGTGAGCTTAAGGGAAGAGGGAAATAGAAGATTTTCAGCCACATAGGACTGTACGTTTCAATAGACTGTATCTAATTGGTAATTGAGGGAGACACCATTGCATCTCTACAAGAGGCCAGTGCCTCGAAAGTTGCCAGAATGTTCCTGTGCAACTCCAACAAAGAATTTTGTTTCTGGTTTGTCTGAGCAAGAACTAACATCTCTACCAGTTCTGTTTAGCTAATAAGTGCATTAGGTTTCAAGTGTGGAAAGTAGCAATGCTACCAATTGACAAGAATTCCAGTGCGTATTTAAGATATAGAAAACATGCCCAAGAAATTATTTTTGTAGGTTATTGTATGTGTCACAAGTGCTCTGACAGGTTCTTTCATCATCCCAGTATTACTCAGATGATGCACATGTAGTGCAGCACCATTAAGTTTTAGGGAAAAGGGCCAGAAATTTTAGAATGATCCTGTGACATAAAGAATACAGCACAGCATTTTTACCTCTGGCAGAAGAACACAGCTTGGTTTTGGGACTTCAGTGCATTGTCATATTTGGAAGGTTACGTTACAAAGATCTCAAGAAAGAAAAAAACCACACAGGCATTATCATTGTGTAGGGGTGAGGCAGGACAGTCACTGAGCAGCATCACTGTGGCATTTACTCTATGCTAGTAGGACACTAAAAATATTGTCTCTGCAAAAGGGGACAGAATGTCCTTTAAGTGCGTGTGCTTGTGGGCGATTTGATGTAGCTTCCCTGACAAGTGAAATTAGAGGATTTGGCTGTTGGAAGAAATTAAAGGATGTTTCTTGATTCAGAAAAGAGAATTTTCTCCCAATCACTTGCCAGCTCATTAATAGGAGCTTGATGTGATTTTCTGCAACTGTGACTTTAACCTCTGCACTTGTAGGCGCATCATTCAAAAGGAATTTATTCCTGCTCATTATTATGGACTGGTAAAAGCATGTAACAAAGAAATTAAAAAATCAGTTGGATCAATACTGGGGAAGAAAACCTAACAACTTTCTTAAAGGATCCTTTAATCTCAAACTGCTTCCTTCCAACTGTGTAAAAGCCAGTAGCTTTGGCTGGCCTCCCACAGTGAGGATTCTGATGCAGGAATCCTTCTGCTGGACACCCTACACATGAAAGAATCACTTGTGCTTCAGGCCAGGCCCGCTGTGTGCACCTGACCTGTCAAGCCCTGACAGACCCAAGCTAGGGATGAATTAGTAGTCCATGTACTTCACATTGTGAGGGACAGAAGCTGCTCCTCAAAGCCACACCTGGGTGGTTTAAAACTGGAACCATGAACAACTTCTGGAGCTCAAGAAAAATCACCAGTGAGGCTTCCTGTGTGGACATGGAAGTGCAGAGGCCCAAAAAGGGAGATGTTCAAAGCCAACTTTACCTGCAGAGTTTTCTGGGGAGAATTGACAGCACCGTATTACCTGATTTACGTGTTATTTCAAGGATCAAAATTTGACAAACTCATAATTTAGGGGCTTACAATGCTCCAGAGAGAATGAAAAAAATCTGAATTTAAGAGTAAAATCTTTAAAGAAAGAAAGGAAATAAAAGAGAGGTGGTTTTAATAATTTTGTGACTCAGACTGTTAAACACCACAAGGAGCAACTTAAAATGCAAGAGGCTAATCCAACCTAATACATGGCTGTAATTTTCCATCCCCCTACCTGAAAATTTAAAATCTGTATGAAAATTATTGTACCAGTGGGTTTCTCCCTCATCTTCCACAGCCTTGGAAGAAATAGACAGTATTTATGAGAGCAGAGTAGGTGGGTGCAGAATTATATTCAAAGCACTACAGTATTCAGCTGTGAAATGACTGTGAGTCAAAAGTTTCAGGGCATTTAAGAACTGTAGAATATTCAGGATATTTTTGTTACCTCACAATTTTCTCATTTTCCTAATTTTTATAAGTTTAGCCTGAAGGGGTTAACGTCAACTTTACAAAAACCATCATGGTCAGATATTGGGAACAGCAGCTATGACTACAGAAAAGCATTAATCAGCAGATGCTGCAGAAGAAAAACAGTGCAGGTCTGGAAAAGAAAGGAAGTTCTGCAGTGCAGCAGTGCCTCAGAGATGCTACAAGCAGCTTTTCTGCTGAAAGTGTGACTGGTGACATCAGCACAAAAGGATGCAGCTGAGATGCAAACCTGAACCACGGTGGAGAGCAACACCAGAGAACAAGAACGTTCTAGTTACAAACCTACTGTGCCATTTCATTCTTACAGCTCTTCACAGGTTGGCAGTGCTTTAAATGGAAGACCAAGCTGCTCTAAGTAGTGTATTTACAGCATACTGGAAGGCATAATGTGAGTGATAATTGTACTCTGTAAAGAGGATCATTAACACTCAGCCTACGAGGAGCTGCAACTATTCAGGACCTTGAGCTCAAGTAGGAGAGAAAACACTGATCTGATAAGGTTTTGTTAAGGTTGAGAACTCTCCCATATTGTCTCAGCTGAACTCTCTATCACAAGTATTGTGGTTTTAAGGAAGAGAGTAGCTAATGCTGTATTATTGAATTTGCTTAGTTCTGATTTAATTCAAAATACCTTAAGACTTTAGGGACTAAATTACTACTAGCTGTTGCATGGCACATCACACCAAAACCCACAGTGTGAATGGTTCAAATGTGACCCTGTCCAGATCTGAGAGAGAGGGCGCAGACAGAAAGGAGTGGAATTCATTTCCTGCAGTGATGCTTTATCACTACAGGGACCCTTGGAATGGGGTTGAATAACAACAGAATGTGCACAGGCTGTACTGCAGAAGAGCTTTAACTCTTTGAAAACAAAACAAAGGAGCACTACTAAATTATCTGCCTGTGGTAGGGAAAAGGAAGCAGTTACAGATAACCTTCTGCCGTATTTTATATTTAACAGCAGTAAAAAAACCACAACAAAACTACCCACATGACTCAGAATAAAACAGAAAAGTGTGTAAGTTTTTGCATATTACTACAACAATCAATTATCTTTTATATGCAAAACAGGTTTTGTTTATATGCAAAATAGCAAAATTTTAAAAATGCCCCCCATCAGTCAGGTATCAAGTTGCCCAAAAGAGAAGCCTTAGACCAGCACCAGATCTCAGACATGGGTGGCTGGTCGCAGCAAAAACTGCAGCAAGGATCACCAACTTCACTTTTTGAGTGGTTCATAAAGTGAATGATGCCACTTCACAAACACAAAAAATGTCAATTTTGAAGTCTTATTTATATTGCCTAAGCAGATGTAACCTTGTAGCATAGCACAGAAAAGCATAGCCAGATGGTATGGCCGGTTTGGGACTATAATACTTTTTCGAGGATTTCAAATGCTGGAGTGAGACAAGGATTCAAAACTTGGAACTGTTCAAGCAGCCCTGCTTAGTATTCTAAGCATGCACCACTTAAATAATTCAAATTGGACTGCGCAATGCAGCGCCTTCTAAGCTGGGAAGTCAGCTGAGTGTTGTACTCACTAGATTAGATAATTTGAGCATGGGAAGGGCATTGCACAGTGCAGTGATTTCCCCCCCCCAGGGCACACTGGAAAGCTGCTACAAATTGAGCTGTAACCACTGCAGGTACAGAGTGTTAACAGGGCTCACTCTATTTATTCACATTTTAAAGAAAGTGTGTTATGTGTGTATCACAAAGCTTTCTAGAAAATTTTCAGTGGTAGCTGAAGTAGCCTAACAGCAGGGCTGGTCCTGACTCAGCAAGGCAGTGCACATTCAGTGACCTTTAAGAACAAGCTTAAATCTTGTGATTTCAAGAAGACTTAGCCATCCACTTGAACCCCAGCCTGTGATTATATATTGTTAATAAAGAACGGGGCCTTGGAACATAACCAAGTTTTTTTTAACCTCATGTCCCAGCACGGACACTGCTCAGCACTCCATGCTCTCTTGATTAGAGAAGCCACTTTTGTAGATGGAAGTGAAAGTTAATTCAGGTCCACGCTATTATGACATTCATTAGAGGAAAACTTATTCCAGGATAAAAGAATTATTTATTAACTGAAGCTAATTTTTCAATAGGGAAAAGAGATATAATAAAGTGATGAAATCTGTGCAAAACCCCAACATCAGTTCTCACTTGCTGCCACAATCCCAGAGTAACTGGCATATGCTAGAACATCCTTTATGTTCCATTCTCACTGCATCCAATGGCAAACTCCTCACTAGCTCCAACTACAAAGATTTAGGACATAAACTGGCAAGCATGTGTAAGTGTAACCACATCTTTTTTAACATTACTGTTGGGGTGCTCTGTTAAATAGGTACAAATCTGCAATGATTGGTGTGAACTGAGGCTGAACACCTTTTATACAAACACCTTTCCACTGAATTGCCAAAGAAATTAGCTTTCAGCATTTATTGTTACTTCTGCTTCCCACACACCTCTGATCTAGCAAAATGCACTTGAGAATGGCTCAAAGGAGTTTTTATAAACTGCCCATGCTAACTGTAGCAGATTCACCGGCTGGCAGGAAAAAATTGTTTTTCTTTCAAATCTTCCACTGTAAATTGAAGATGCCTTTGGAAGGTTTTACAGCCTTAGAAATGCCTGGAGACTGACATTTGAGAACAGTGATCACACAAGGTAAGGGAGCACATCTAGTGTACGGCTCAAAGGCAGAGATATGTGCATAATACTTCCTGAACAGAAAGAGAAAAATGCAGTTACCTTCAGCTTTTAATGCTGACTTTGCATGTCCTATGGCTTCCCATGGAGATGGAATATCTAGGAACACAGCATCTGCAATGTTTGAGACCCCAAAGCCATTTTTGCAGACATCCTGGTTGGTCACTGTGACCAGGTGCTCTACCCCATGCTCCCGAAACTCCTCCTGCGCCTTCTTAGCCCTCTGTTGATGGAATTCCACTGTGTACAGGTGCCCGGTGGGAGCCACTGTCCGGATGAGAGCGTGGGAGAGAGACCCACTGCCTGTACCTAGAAAAGACAGCTCATGAAATTCAGTTTGTCAGTGCCAAACATCAGAACTAAAGTCTTCTGCATTAGTCTTCCTGCTTGGAACACCTGTTCAAAACTCAAATGAACACAAACTACTGTTTCAGCTCCTGAAAGAGAACAGTCCTTCCTTCACAAGGAGGGAGGGGACTAGGTGACCTAGGAAACAATCTTCTGGGTCCTCAAAGCATTCATTAAAAATTCAGGCAAACCCAGGATCTGTCCTATCTCACTGGAGTACAAAAGTAATGCCAAAGGTCAGCTATAGCTCTAACAACTGCCACTGGAGAACATGAGGAAGTAAATGCAACAGGAAAAATTCAGGGAAATTAACTAGAGAGGTTTTTTTCAAAGTGTCAGACTCTTCCAGGGTGAAAAGAGATTAAGGCAAATTTTAACGGATTTTCAAAACCTTATACTTCACTAAACAAAGAAAATATGTTGGCATGGGTCCATGCTTGAAAATCCTATTAATATCCATGCAAACAAATGGCTGTCAGGATACAGGTTTTTTTTTGCACAGATCTCTTAAGAGACATCCTCAACTCCCACTGGAATTACCCAAAACTAAAGCCTCTTGGCTCCTTGAAGGCACACTGATCAACCACCTGTTTTCACAGGTCACTTACACACATACACACCTACACAAGCTTAACTTAGTCTAACAAAATCTATCAAAAAATTGTAGGTAACTACAATTACCACATTCAAACAGGAACTGACAAGACAAAGATTTTTTTCCTTGTTTTAGTTTGATAATTTAGGAAACCTAGTTTAAATGATCCATTGGCATATTAAATAGATGGATGACTAATAACTAAGATTTTCACTTAAGAAAACATCTGTGTGCCAATTCCCATTGCAAATTTGTCACTCAAGTGGCATTCAACAGAGTAACCTCCCAAATTCAAAACCCCACAGCAACCCCAAATTATCTGTGTTTATTGATTCATAATTCTGTGCTTAGAACACATTTCTCCTGTAGAAATAAAATCTATTTCTAGCTATTTTCAGTGACTGTTTAGCCTGAGGCAAGTTCTTTCAGCTAACATAAATCTTAAAAAAAACTTAAAAAGGACAGAAATCTGAAGTACAATAGCTCAGAAACAACTAGAAAAGAAATTAATTAGGGGGCACAGGGGCTGGTACAGCCACTTAATTGGTGCAGTATTTTCCATAATCATACAGGAAGTCTGAGTTCACTGGCAGATCCCAGGTTCTTGCCCTCTAGTCACAAAAGGGGAGGAACACTGCTGTGGCACCATATTTAATCTGACAGCTCTGAAAGGGGAGACATTCAGACTGTAAACAGAGCTCAGGGCCCATATTTGCCACGGGATCAAGCGGCCGCACCGCAGAATTGCACTGCTCCTCTGCTTCCCTCTGAGAGGGCTCTGACCCCAGCGGGCAGACTGGAACCCCCCCCTGCAGCTTCAGCAGGGCAGATTACAGAGGGAAAGAGGACCTAGAGATTTTAGCACTGGCTTCAGAGAGGTCCATGAGAAGAGAAACTTTTACATTCATTAAATGCATTTAATAAAGTGAAAATACAGGCATTCAAGGTATTATTAAAATAAAACAAAGGAAAAGCAAAAGACACCTACATGTGCATACATCAAAAAACCACCCTGTCACAGTACTGGAAGGTTCTAAATGTCAAACTGAACTTTTCCCTTGTCAAAGGAGTAATGGTAGCACAGCAGCCAAGTGATTGTGCAAACTCAATAATATATGTGCACAACAAAGAAACAGCATTCCATTGAGAGGTTTTTAATGACAAAAGCAGGGAACTATTGCTCACAGGATATTAAAGACTGAAACTCTTAACATTTCATGCCAAAAGGGAGGATTACACCACTGAGAACTATTGTAAAATGAGGGACTTTAATTATTTTACCCCTCAAATGCGTAGTGCTGCACACTTTCTGCATCTCTCTGCTAAAGGAGAGAGCTAAGGGAGAGCACTGCTCTAAAGGAGTGAGTAGGCCTGGGCTGTAAGCAGAATAGGGAGGCAGCTTGGACATGCATCCAGTTTCCTTGTTCATATTCTTCTACATTTTTAATCACTTTCCTTTTAAGTCTGCTCTTAATAAAACCACAGAAGATAATATTTATCTCCTCCATAGGAAAACCCATTAAGATTTTCTGGCTTCTTTTCTAAAACTCTTCTTTTATTCACAAAGAATCCAAGCCAAACCCTGAACTAAAACCAAGATGCTGGAAGTCACCACTTGCAGGCATATTACACACAGAGCTTTTGTTAAACAAGGTTCCCAGGTTATTGTTGACTGGTTTATTGTTTATTGTTGACTGGTTGCCACAAACATGAGAACAATACATATGTATCACATTTTAACATATCAAATTCTATCACATTAATATTATTAATGGAAGTATTTCTGAAGATACTGCCTGCCTTCTCTGTGATAACACTCTCAAAACTGCAGGAAACAAGGAACAAGATGGTTATGAATCACCCACTATTGTAATTTCTCCTTGAAAATATATTCTGAACCCAGACATGTGACATGATGATGACCCTTAACTCTCATGTGCTCAAAAGATCAGCACATTTGATGTGATCCATTAATATGAGAGTCTGGCATGAGTCCATATCTGCCACAAGCCCTAAAGCCCAGCCAGCACTGTCTACACAAGGCAGGGGTTCAACCCTATGTTTTTGTGATGCTGTAGAAGGGGAAATTAATGTTTATATTCAGTTTCTTCCCTGCAAATCTACAACATTCAACATTTCTGTCCTCCTTCTCAATCTCTCTTTGTCCTTATTTCAGAATTGTTACTGAAAAAAAGCAAAATATGACTCAAAGAGTCTTAGGCACCAGTTTGGAGTAAATTCTAGTCAGGTACAGGTTTCCTTGGGAAATGAAAGGTATCCTCAGCATGATACAGAACAAGTCAGGACAGCAGCAAAACTCAAGGAGTACTACTGCAGACATACTAGAATGCTACCAAACAGAAATAGCATACCTGAATTACCTGTATACAAATGACCAAAACTGGATACTCAAAACTACTATTTTGTATCATAAGAGACAAGATCAGAACTGGAATAACTTCAGTGGATTTTCTTTCTCATAAAGCTGCAATGAAATGCTTGTGTTCCTGATATGACCTAGAAAGCAAAACGTAAGACAACTGATTTATAATTTTTACACCAGGATGGTCCCTTTCTGACAGCCTGCACAATAAATAGCCTTAGAAACTGTTTTCTCTCTACCACAGGACAATACCCACTTATCTACCATGTTTTAATCATGAATGAACTCTACAGAACAGAGGTAAAACAACAACAATTCAAACTGTACTGAAGACAACCTTAGCAGCACAGCTACTGCTTTAGAGCTCACTTAGGTGAGCACTTACATCATTGCTAATTTTCACTTGGAAAATGTGATTCTCTTTTACATTGACTGTTCTGTGATCTCAAACATCTTAGTCAAAAAGCAGACATCTGCATTGCAGGCATTTAATGAGACACCGCAGGGGCCCCAATATGCCACACTCAAAGCTCAACATCTGAGGAGGCAGCACTGTGCAGGGGATCAGCACAGTGTAAACTAGGAATGGGCTCCACTTCAGGCCAAAGGCAGGAATTAAACTCCCATGTTACACCCACAATTTAGGCGGCTAATGGCCCTACACACTGATGTAGTATCCTTTCCTTCTTCTTGGGCTCAAGCATTCTCCTTCTCTGATATGTATAAGCTCTAGGGACGTGTTTTTGCCCCTCTCCCAAAACAAGCAGAACACTGCAGTTTTAGGATTTCAGTCCTAACAAGGGGACACCTATATAAAAAACTCTAGCTCAGCGCCTACTGATACCTCCTTCTAATTTGCAGACATGCAACCTATTGATCAGATGAACTTCTTGATTACCCTGACCTCCAACACATCTGTTCTTCTCACTCTCTGCTTATTCAAGTGACAGGGTTTCCACAGAGAAGCCCCCACACACCTCAGCAATCTTGAAACAATGTCCATGTTAAAATAATTTCTCACCTCAAAAGTTGCAGTGTACAATATCTGAGCTGCTCAAAAATAAAGCATGTTATTTCAGCACGGAATACCGCCAAGACTGAGTGTCACCACAGCATCATGCACAGCGCTTAGCTGATACAAAATACAAAGTACGTTTTACACTGTTTTCTGTTTAGTCTGGTTTCCTTATTGCAAAGGATATTTGTCTAATCTCCTGAAATCCTACCCATGCCATAGTTATAAGTGACCTGATTCTTTGTTCCACTACATTTTCTCTTTGCAGCCTATCGCTTGGCTTGTCTTCCCTAGAAATTTCTCATTGTGGTGCTTCTTTTTAAAAAAGGAGCTACAAATTGTCATTTAGGATCTATAGATGTTTACAGCTGTGTGTAAGCAAAAGCATTTTGAAATAAAGCTGAATAAGCTCTTAAGTGCATAAAAAGGTTCATATTGCTTGGAAACACAAAAAGAGAAAAGTATGCAAAGTGTTATTTAATACCGTGTCTCTAAAATATCTAGTAACATTTTAGTAGAACCTAAGCTGCTGATGCAAAATCTGGCTACCCAAGATATTCTGAAATGAGTAAATACAACAAAACAATGACTGTTGCTCTATTTGTCTCCTAGCTACGCCACTTAGCCCTAGCAAATAGTAAGATAGGTCATGAATCAGCCATGAGAACGGAAGGAGCCTCAAAACCAAGGGAAAATTAATCTTGAGACAGAGCTAACAACTCCACCGCTAAAATCTGTCAAGAAACACTGAACAGACGAAGACTGCTCACTGTACATAATAAGTCTGTGTAATGACTTATAATGAACACATGAAAAGATATTAAGCATTTGATGGAAATTAACCCAAATATCTTACTGTGAGGATAGCCAAGGGTCCAAATCATGGTAGCAGAGGTAAGGCACAGGAAGAGCAGGGACAGAGAGAAGGAAGAAGAGAGGGAAGGAGAGAATTTCAAGGCATTGAATGGATGGCTGAAAGAGACAACACTGAATCAAAAAGTTCACTTTACAGTCAAGTTTTTCACAGAAAATTAGCTTAACTGCCTATCTGTTATGGACACCATGCTGAAGCAGGCATTTTAGGCAATAGGCTGAAGGTCAGAGAGGGCCACTGCTCACTGACCAGACCGAGGAGCTGAGGGAAGGATAGTAGGGAAGTTTCCAAGGCTGGCACTGCCTACAGAATAATACGAAGAATTAATTTTCCTTAGAGATTCAAGTGAAGAAATAAATTTTCCTTATAGATTCAAAAGTCTGAATTTTTTAGGAAGGAATCTTCTACAGAATGGACATAATATGGTTAGGTTTAGAGCTGCATGAGAAGTGTGCTTGGTGGTCAGCTGAAATTACAAGATCAAAGTGAGTCCAGAAAGTCTGGAAACAAATGCTTTAGGATATGAACAGCATTCCTCCTCAGCTACATGACAGCCACAAGTCTGAATACATTACAGTGATGCCTCATGTGGTCAGAGGTTTGGTTCACAGAGTCATCACAGACCTACAGAATGGTCTGGGTTGAAAGACATTTAAAGATTCTTTAGTTCTAACCCACCTGTCTGGGGCAGGGACACCTTTCCACTAGACCAGGTTGCTCAAAGCCCTATCCAGTCTGGGCTTCAACACCTCCAGGGATGGGACATCCACAGCTTCTCTGGGGAATCTGTGCCAGGGCTTCAGCACCTTCACAGTAATGGCTTTCCTCCTAATACCTCTTCCCATTCAAACCTATTACCCGTTGTCCTATCACTCCATGCCCTTGTAAAATTCCCTCTCCCCAGCTCTCTTGCAGCCCCTTTAGGTACTGGAAGGTCCTCTAAGATCTCCCTGGAGCTTTCTCTTCTCCAGGCTGAAAAATCCCAGTCTCCTTAGGAAAAGTGCTCCAGTCCCCTGCTCATCTTCATGGCCTCCTCTGGACTTGCTGCAACAGATCCACATCTTTCTTTATTGCCCCTCTGTTGGGGGCCCCAGCATCATTTCAGTGCTTTGGTATTGCAAGAGAATACTGTGGTTTATGACATTTGTACTAATGAGACCTATCTAATATTTCAAGAGGTGCTATACAAGGATCAGGTTCTAATTCTTCTCTCGCTCTAACCTGAACAGCTGCTAAGAGGTAGATAAAGGGAGACATTATAAAACACCAACATAATTAGTTTGGGTACATTCCAGAATATAATTAATACTTCCAAACTTTGGCCTGTACTTTACACTGAAAACAGAGCTGCAAACAATTTACATATACTTATGACACAAAAATAGTAAAGACATGAGCAGTACTTGTCAAAAAGTCTATAAGCGTTTCACAAGAGTCATAAGCATACAGATGATTTGCTGGGACTCCACAATAAACTCTTAATCATTTATTAAGTATCCATTAATCATTAAGTCCTCATTAATTTTTTATGAGTGTACTCTTAACAAAATCTATACCCAGGCTGTGAGTTTGAAAATTTCATAATTGTTTTTGAGAAGCTCTAGTGTAAGGCTGGGTGGCAGCTCCTGTTACTCCTTCTCTGAGAAACCATGAGAACCAAGAACACCGCTCTCAGCCTTCAGAAATCCAGGCCCTGAGCTTGAAAACCCATTGCTGTGTAGCAATGGATGGGGTTTAGCAATTTTTAATTTGGGATTTAGCTGAAGGGAAACAAAAAATCCAATTAACATTTTTGCTCATGTGAGTCTGATTTTGTGAATGCTGAAGGATCACCGGGATGGTGGTTAAAGTACTTTTGACTAAATTACATTTTGTCTAAATACTACCCTTCATTGAAGCCAAAATATTTCTGAGATTTATCAGGTTAAATGAGGTTTCACATGCTGTACCATTAAGACAGGCACTCTTCTACATCTCACCATGGAGAGAGGACAGTAAAAAAGCCTTGATGTGTGGGGACCAGAAAGAAGGGGATTTTGTTTGGAAAAAGTATTTGAAAGGTTTCATACTGGTTCCACTATAGTATCAAAAATAAACGTAAACCCCTCAAAATGAGCTGGAAAATGGAATTATTATCCTAGGGGGAGTCTAGCCTGGGAAGTTGACATCAAGATTAGATCTGGAGAGTGAGGTGAGACAAAAGAGAAAGATTTAGACTTTTCCTTTATCTAGGCGTATACATATACAATAAACACAAATGGGATTATTAGAATTACCTGACAAGAATAAAACTTTCATACTACTGGGCCACTCACAGCAGGTATTTAAGCAGTTATTTTGAGTTATCATGGTTTTGGAAAGATAGGGATGTTAAAAACTGTATCCAAGTGGGGAATTTCTCAGGGCAGGGACCAATATTTTTGAAACATCTTAGCTCTAATAACAGTGCTAACAATTTTAAAACTCAACATACCTTTATAAATAAGAAATTAGCAGAAGACAGAAAAAGGATCATATTCCTACACTTCTGTCATGAAACATCAGGTAGATGCAGAGTCTCCTTATAGCCTCCACAACAGAGAATGCCTGGGTCATCTGAATTATGTATGTGCTGCTGACAAGCTTGCTCTTCATGTGTTTATTAAAGACAATTAAACATAGTAAAAACTGTATTTTTTATATATATATATATATATATGTTTATATATTTTAGGACAAATCACGACTAATCAATTTAAACTACATGATTAAACTGACATAAAATTAATCCTTCTGGTTATTCTACTCCATTTTTATAATCACATGCAGAAGACCATTTATTCATTCACAGCATTTCAACACGATATGGAGGGTATTTCACCTTGCTTTTTCAATCATTTCTTCTCACTGGAGACTAATTCAAAATTCTGCTACTTTACAATGGCTAAATACACGACATGCTTCTACAGATGAGTTAGTAAGACAAGAAGAAAAGAGCCCAGCTTTTTTTTACAGAGCCTGCTTTGCTAGTTCATAAAGCAACTGTGTACATAAGTTCAAATAATAAAAAAGACAGACCTCTGTGCTAATTAATGCTTAAAATTCACCTAAACTCTGCACCAGCAGGAAGCAGACTCAAGTTTTACCTGACAGGATTTCCTGTCTTGGTTCTACTCATCACCATTGGGCTGGTTCTGTCTAGCCCACACAGGGTTAATCTAGAGCTAATGATTTTGGACAACCAAATACCATTGAATTTAGGATGGCATCAAAGCAGGCGACATCACCACGCTGGAGGCTCCAGTTATATATACCTGTCAAGTTTTTAATTCAATGTAAATCTGCAGTAAGGTCTCTTGCTTCCAAGGTTAGCCAGATGAATTTGTTGCAGCATTCTTTCTTCTTTCCTTTCTTTGTGAACAGTGAACCTTGCAAGCAATACAAGCGTTAACTACAGCTGTAAAACTGTTCACTTTCCCTGGAAAGCTGAAGTTGCTACACAATAGCAGTACAAGCATTAAAATGAACCTGGGGACACTTTCCCCTTAGCAAAAAGGATTGATTTGTGGCTGTGACTTTTGACTCACAACATTTTTGGAAATCATCAAGTGTTTCCACTTCTTAGTTGTTTAGATAAGCAAGAGAATAAACATTTTCATCCTCTCTAGGCACCTTTGACATTACTGAAAATATTTTATGTACAGCTCTGTACATTTGACTAGTCCGAGTGAGACAGGACATGAAGCAATTCAAATCTCTCCCCCCAACCCCCCAAATAATTTATATTTCCCATCCTGTCTAAATATAGCAGGTCCTACAAACCAAATTACAAACTCATAGGACCCAACTATTTTCACAGTATCAGAGGCTTCTGCACAGGGCTTTGCCTGCTTCAAGTGCTGCTGTACAGCAACCAGCTAAATGCACTGACTAGTTCTTAACTGGTGAAACTGGGTGCAGAGATAAATGGTGTTTCAGTTGAATTGGAAAGTGGTCATTATGCCTGAAAAGATGCCCAGAATTATGCATGAGTGGGAACAGGAAATGGTAAACGCAAGAAAGTACAGTGCATCACAGTCCTGTCATGCTGATCCTTTGCCATATCTATGCTTGAGCAGGAAGTGTATGAAACTTCTCCATTAAAATGCTCAAACAGCCAGAAAAAACAAGGACAAACTACCTCAGTTTCTATTTCTCCAAATTACAGAGATTCACTCAAATCAAGCAAGCCTCATACTGCCTATAGCAATAAAGTTATGAAGACATTATTATAAACTCTATGTTTATAGAGTATATAAGTTATACCTAGAAAACATTTATGTTGATTTTCACTCCTTACTTCCAAACTAAGCAAAATCATGATAGCTGTAATAAATGAAACCAAGTTTAGAAATAAAACACAGCTCTGTGATGAACACATCATCCGTTGTACTTAATCAGTGATTGAGGTTGTGGTGCTACAAGCAGATTACTCTTGGGAGGAGAAGAATAAAATTTATGTACTTACATGGTACCAGATAGAAATACTGCCAATTTATTTCTCTTATTAGTTCAACACCCTATCACCAATCTCTCTTTCACCAGGTTATCTCAACTACATCCTCCGAAACTGCTAATCCAAAGTCTGAATCTTGATTTAAATAATGTATTCAAAAACATTTTTAAAGTACTTAACAACCCTTAGAAAAGGGAAATGAAAACATTTACATATTTGTTCTAAGAAGATGAATTAACCAGATGTATACCCACATACATGAGGCTGCACACTGAGGTAGCATCAATTTTTGAAAAAACATGTGCACGTCATAGAATTCTTCAACATGTGGGCAGAGAAAACTGTATCACAGTGGGAAAAAAGTTCAACTTTATACAAAATATAAAGAAAACCCTGTTTTTTCATGAAAGTGTTGGTGTTAGTTCCTAATAAAGAATTTCAACATAATTATTACCTGATTCACATACTATGGAGCCTGGCTTCAGTTCCAACATCATGGTGATTAAGGAGATGTCAGTGGAATACAGGATCTGCGTCCTGTGTGGGAGATTCATGGTCCACAGTTCTGGAGTTGGATGAAGAATGAACACCCATCCTCCTTTACTGCAGGTCACTTTGGAGCCATACTTCTTGCCTATGAGGTCTGTGGAATGCCTGATGACCCCATACTTAGTCTGTGTTACAGTGCCATGCTGGACTTTCACAGGAAACATGGATTCATGGCCCAGGAACACAATAGCTGTGTCACCATCCTTTATCGTATCTCCATATTCAACAAAACTCATGGTGACAATCTTGTAGTTGGCTGATGACTGTCACCTAGAGAAGAATAAATATGTCAGGGAAATTTCACAGGACCACAGTGGAGCTGAACCTACAGACATAAAACCAAGTAATTTTATTTTCTCCAATACAGAACAAAATCACAGTGTGCAAATAAGATGCTAGCAAGAGAGCTCCAGGAAGTTCAGGGATCTGCCCTCCTCTGTATCCTTGATCCAATTACAATCAGTGCAAGGATCCTACAGATTTGAAAATAAGAAGTATTTTTCTTGGTTTATGGTACGTATTAAAGAAAAATCAGGAAATACATTATAGTTTACTCAGCCTGATCCACAATGCTACTGCAGGTTAGTACCAATTTCAGCACCCTGTTCAATTACAGTTCCTGAGCACTCAGACCATGTTATTAAGTTGTAACTTCTATTCCCATCTTCTTGCTTATTTCTTGGTGATTTACAACATAATAAAGACATTCTGCTACTTGCCTGGACCTCAATCACCAGCAATTAGGACCACTAGCAGAAGTATACTTGAAAGTTTTCCAAATGAATGTTTAGAGATAGGCAAAATGCATTAATTTATGCATAAACTTGACTAACCATGTGGGGAAAAAAAAGAATACTGTGGCCTTTAATTTGCCATTGGGGGATGCAAAGTAACTGTCTGGGAAGTGATCTCTGCTCCAGCTAAATGTAAACAACCATTTGCAAGCTAATACCAACAGTCAAATCACTTCAGCCCCATGGTCTCAGAGCTGCTTTAGAGAATTACAATTAAATTTTGATGGCTTTTAGAAGACAATCTAGAAATAAGAAGGTGACTTAAAATGAAACCTGACATTGCCTTTCAGATAAAGCAGCTAACTGTCTAAGCTGCAGGTTGATCAGTTCATTCAAGAATTGTTTAACAAAGTAATAGGGATCCCAAAGTTAGAAATTAAAACCTATGACAAAAGGCTTTGAAAGTCAGATTTCTGGTACACCATACCTGAATCAAAAGCAGCACTACTTTTGGTTTCAGAATAATTACTGAATTCCAGCACTTTTCTGTTGAATGTTTAAGAGTCTGGTCCTGCTTCATCATTTTAATTAAAAACCTTCAGTTCTCAAAGTGTAGTCTGGTGTCTGTAGTCTGGTTCCTGCCTGGAACTCCATGTAGCTCAAATTGGTGTTAAGAAGCTAGATTTATCATTTTTCCACTGCAATCACTGGGGTTGATAAACAGATATGCTTGTGGCTGAAACTTCCAAAGCTTATGACATGCTTATTGCATAAGGTGTTCAGATGCCAAGGGAGAAGAGGCTTGTCTGGACATCTGGTGAAATAGTAAGAAGGGCATCCCATGAATTCAGAAATGTATACATAAAGGACTTTATGAGATAGAAAAAATGCTGTCTTTTATAGCTTGCACCTTATGATTATGTTCATGTCTTAATCTTTCATAAATGACACATAGCTCTCATTCCAGATACTTGTAATGCAGTGCAGTTTTCAGCTCTCACAAGTGTCATTTGAAAGGAATGGAATCCGTTTCTTTCACAGTATTTACTGCAGTTACACCCATGTGCAAAAGAATCCTGTAGCAAGCCTGCAGGAACATTGAGTGAATTCCTCTACCTTTGATTACACCAACTGGCTCCCAGCTTCCTTGCCTTCCTTTGAGCCACTACACTTACCACAGCCAATAGTCACAGCAGTGAATCGCAGAATCATCAAGGCTGCAAGGGACATTTAAGATCATCAGGTCCAGCAAATCTATCCATGTCAGTGCACACTGACATCGCAAGTGACACATCTCTCCAGCTCAGACCTCACCTGACACATTATGTTCATATATTTGGGGTAAAATTGGCATCTGTGAGGAATTTTGGAAGTTTCCTTGCGTCGCCCCCTTGTCAAGGAGCACAGTGAGCTACAACCACTTCCAGTATTTTCCATTCCTTGGCAGTGCAGAGGCTCCCGCACTGTTTTATTTTTCCCCGGGCAGCACGCAAGGGATTGGTACAGCACCGCATTTGCCACACGGCGTGGGGGGAAAGGCGGTGAGGGGACGGCAGTGCCGGGAAACTGAGGCGGCGCCCCCTGACACGGGGTCAGGACTTTTCTCTGGGCTTGCCACGGCTGCAGCGACCTAAACGCCCCAGGCGATCCCTCGCAGCCTCACAAATAAAACCACTAACACGATTCTGTGTTCCCTTCAATCACAACGCAAGCACACATCTCTCTTCCCTGACCAGCTCCCACAGGGACCTGGCAGGGTGCCCCTTCCCCGTCCTGAAGCCTGGCTGCTTGGCACGGGGGCATGGGAACCTCCCGCAGCCGAGGCAGGCACAGCCCCCTCCCCGCCCAGGCACACGCAGGCTGGGGAGTCGCTCCCTGCCCCCCCCCTCGGAGGTGACCCCGATGCCAGGACTCCCTTCAGTCCTCTTCCATATCCCGAGGGCTGTAATGCGGCTCCTGCACCCCAGCAGCGCATCAGCCCGTCCCAGCGGACCCGGGAACCTGAGCTGCGGGCAGGTGAGAAGCACGGACTGGGGAGGGAAGGGGTGAGAGGCGGCATTCGCCTGCGGGAGAACAGCGTTAACCCGTAACGGCCCCGGGCGGCGGCTCCGCGGGGAGGAACGCGCTCGCCCCAGCGCCCCACGTCCCCGCGGTTGCCACCGGTTCTCCCCGTGCCCCGAGCCGTTTACCTCCCCAGGCTCGGCCCGGCGCGGCCCGGCTCTCCTCACACGCGGAGCCCGCCCAGCGCCTCCTTCCGCCTCGGTCGCAGGCTGCTGACGCTCCCACCGCCTCCGCCCCCGCCAGCCCTGCCTAGAGCCGGGAAGTCGCTGCCGCCTGTGCCCAGCGCGGTCAGACCTAGCTCCTGCAGCCTTCGTGAGGCGTCCGTTCCCCTCAGCCCGTCATGCCCACAGTCCCATGGAAGATCCACCCCCCTCAGCACACCCATCCCTTCAGCCCCATCGAGGCATCTGTTCCCCGCAGTCCCCTGCTGACCGCCCCCACCTCATCCTCTCTTTGCTGGGTCCTGAGGAGTGGGGACGGTCACTGACCACCTTCAGCAGCGCCCCCCAGGCACCCCGGTGGGTGCTCCTGCCTTGGGCAGCTGCCCTGACAGTGAAACTTGAGGGGTGCCAGTGGGTCACCGTGAAAAGCTGTGATGGGGACTGATAGCCCCAGTGGGAACTTGGTGCTCATCACCCGTTGAACATGTGGGGTATCTCGAGGGCCACTGCCAGCAGGTCTGAAGACCATTCCCCAGGGAATGACTCTGCCTTTGCCATTGGCAGACCTGGGCCTTACCTCTAGGGCCTAGGTAATCAGCTGCCAGAAAGTTCTGCGTGCCCTTCCCCCAAGGCAGCGTCAGGGAAAGGCAGCTCGAGGCCAACCAAGCTCTTCACAGGGGTTTCATAAGGCTGCAGGAGAAACCACACTGTGGGCTCAGAAGCAGCAGAATTGTTATCTAACCCCCTAACAGCATGGTACTAACTCCTACTTCTGTCTCGTGTTTAGGATTGAAGTTATGTGGAGAGCCCTGCCTGCCCTGGTGCTATGGGGGCTGTAGTCAGGAGGCAAGGAGGAGCAAAGGAGGAGAATATTGCCTCATCTGCTCACGACAAGCCAGGCCACCTGGCATGGGAGTGGTATGGGCATAGCAGAGAGCATGTGAATCACCCTGGACGTGCAGGTAGTGTTCCCAGCTAAATCAGATAACACACTGTACTGTGCTGCATTCACCAGTAACCTGTAATACACAATAAAGGAGAAAAAGGCATCCTTTCACAATCACAAACCCAATAACAGAGAGCTGTATAGATGATGATCTGAGATTTTTTTTGAATTAATGTGGTTCCACCGAGTATAAGGGATTTTTTTCCCATTACCTTCAGTGAGAACATATTTTTTGTTATGGTGTTGACCTGCTCATAGCATAATTGCAGTAGGCTTTGTTAGTTATGAAACTCTTCTCCATCTAATCTAAACATAATGTATGCAGTTTCAGAGGTTTCTTAAACTGCAAACTCCTACTCAGCTGTTTTTCTGACTGGCAGTCATGGCTCTACTGTGCCTTTATATTTGCACCCACTTTGTTTAATTTTTTGTCATTTTTAGTGTCATTGGTTATATTTGTCATTGTTTATGTTCTCATGTCCTTTCTTTCCCATGATGGGCTGCTGTTCAGATCACTATGGGCCTGACTGTGTGCAACATTGAGACACTCAGCAACTCCTCATTTCCACAGGCACTGAGGTCACTGGAAACAATCAGTAATTTTCAACAGAATGCTTAAGCAGTGAGAAAAAATACACCAAGGATAATAACTAAGCAAATAAATTTTATGTGATAAATGGGAAGAGAAGTTTCATTTGACAAGTTAAGCAGATGGAGCTATGGCCAATTTCTTTAATCTACTGGTACATGAGTGTTATGTTTAATTTTCAAGTGGTGTTTAGTTGTAGATTAGGAATTGGAAACAATTCAGTTGTTCACAGCAAGCCAGTTTCTCTTGCTGTTTCCTAATTTGGAATATTATTCTGTGTTTCCAAGATGGTGTTTATCCCCTAATTCTTCAGGTTCATATTACGTTCACGCAAGTAATTTCAGAAGACACGTTCACTAGCTAGCACCCATCTCTTCTTGCACTTGTACACCACACAACATTTATAATTAAGCCTCTTAGGAAGTTAGCTGCATGGCCCATGATTAACTTCCCTTAATTCTTCATTGTTAAAGCTCAGTGCAAAGATCTCTAGAGTAATCAGCCCACCTTTCCAACCGGAAATGTAGCATATAAATCAGTATTCACTAAGGTACCATCCCAGCATGAAAAATGAGTACTGGTGCCTTTATCACTGTCTAACAGGCCATACAGCTTATCCAAAGAAAGTGTTTCCCAGCAGATGAGGCAGATAAAGCGGGTGATCAGAGGCTGTTGACACACAGCACAGCATCTGTAATTAAGTCACTAGGGAAGCTGGCATGGAATGCTGTGACAAAGATAGGATCCAATTTATACACAGCTTTCAGTAAACCTTAAAATGCTGTCTGAGTAAAACCCAGCCACTTCTGACTTACTGCATGCTAGAAATTTGTCAAATAGTGGTGAGAAAAGGGGGGTAGAGGGTGCATTGTTTATCAAACATGTAAATTGGATATATTTTAGTGATTTTATGTTCCTGACTCTCTTTCCACGTCACTCAAGTTCTGTGAAGAAGAGGTGTGTGTTTGTGTTGGAAGTGCTGTAATGGGTGGCACACTGAGACTTCTACCTGCTTACCATGACTGGTATTCCCTGTTCTGCAAGACCGGGAGAAAAAGAGTGTATCCAATGAAACAGATCCTTGGATTTTGGATCTTGAGGTGACCTTGACTCCACAAATCTGCTGAACAATTAAATTACAGAACAGTTGGTTGCTTCTTTGTTTGTGTGGCAAAAGATTATGGAATAAGATAAAAGAAGCCTTCATAACCTACCCTAATTGGCACTTTTTTTTTCTTTTTGGTGAGAATACCACCACAAAAATATGCTGTATTGTAAGAAAATGGTTTTAGTATATTTCTGCTTGAAATTAAGAATAAAATACTTGTGTTTTACATTAAAAAAATCCACAATCAGAATTATTTTGCATTATTGTTTGCAGCAGAGGTAGTCCAGTAATATTACATTTATATTGTGATTTATTGAGGATTCTAGGTACAATTTTACACTTATAATCATTTAATACTTGTTTAGCCATTCATTATTTGTAATTTACACTATTCTGATGCATGAGCATTGTGTGAAACTATTAGTGTGTAGGGGAAGATTTTGTGAGGTTAAAAGTGCAGAGGAGACCTAGAGAGAGGATTTGTTCTTTGATCCGGAAGCTAAGAGACTGGACTTGCACAGATGCTGAGCCCTTGGTTTCTCCTGGAGATCTGTATACTCAGCATCTCAGTCTACTAGGCCTGGAATAGCTCGGAAACCTGGACGACAGCCAAACACAGCACATTTTTATTTGAAGCAGTCTAGGCTTTTTATTTTGCAATGATTTCCTCTATATGTGCATTATTATTATTTTTAACTCCTAAGCAGTTCTGTAAAGTGCACATGCTTCTTGTTGTTAGGGTGAGGGTACTGGTCATGGTGCTGAAAGGATTGTGGTGGGGAAAGTTTCAGGTGATGTCTCCTGACATTTACAGCTGATGTCAAGGAAAGCAGCTCTGGGACTCAGATCTGCACTCTCATGGATAAGTACACTCTGGACAGGAGGATAAACATGGGTTCTGCTGTGAGAAACACATCAGAGAAAGATAACGATACTATTATGTAAAGGTGAAAGTCAAATCAAGATACTCATTCACATTGTTAACATATTTTTTCTGCAAACAGCAGGATTCTCAGCTGCATCTTAGCTTTGGAACAAACCTGCTCATTCCTACAAAAAGACCAGTGGAAGTCACTATTATTGTGAATTTCAGGTGAGCTTTAGATGGGTCAGATCCCAGAGTTCCTGTGCCTGTCTTTAGCAGGAATTCACCCTCTTTCCAATAAAAGCTGAAGCTTTTCTTTTTTTTTAATTTTTTTTTGGCACACAACAAGAGCAGAGGATTCACTGCGATTTACACAATCACCCTGCTTCCTTTCAAATTAAACTGTAAAACGAGCCCACGGTTTCACAGGTGCTGGAGGCGAGGTGCAGGTCCTCCCTCTGCACAACCAGGCTGCCAGGGCTTGCTCACCACATCCACAGCCGCCTCAGGGGTTTCTGCCAGCTCGGGGGCACTTGCCATTCACAAAGCTTACAGCACGGCCAACCCGCACACTACATAACCCTTATTTTGGGATCATGCATTATCAGACCCGTTTGAACCTTCAACCAAGCTGTTGGCAAAGGTGTGAAGCCTGCAACCGGCCACGTTGGTGTGCGGTGGCACCTTTTGGCCGGTGGCCCAGGACATGGACTCCTGCCCTCACGCTCGCAGTAACGGACGGCGCTGGGGCCGCCTCAGCGCCGCGAGAGCGCCCCGGCGGGGGGGGTCCCTCCACCCACAACCAACCTCCCCGACGCCGAGCAAAATGGCGGCAAGCGCGGGCCCGGTCGGCGGTGCAGCGCCCACCCCGCCCACAGCCATGCGGCCCAATGGAATGAATGGGCTATAAATAACGGCCAATGGGGCGCCGGCTTGCGCTCTATATAAAAGACGCGCGGTGGGGCCGTTGGCGCTTCACTCGGACTTGGGTAGTGCCGTGCGCGGAGCTGCGCGGAGGTTCTTGCTGTAGCTGCAAAGCCCGCGGTAAGTCCCGGGGCAGCCGCGCTGTTCTGCAGCCTTAAAACAAAGGATTTTAATGTTTTAATTTTTGGGGGTTGGTTTGTTTGTTTGTTTTTCTTTTATTTTTTTTTTAACCTCCCCCAGCTGTGTGGGGTGGAGCCGGTCCGCCTGAGGAGGGGCGCGAGGGGCGTTGCGGGGCAGGGGCGCAGCCGGGGCGGGGGGGGGGCGGGGAGCTGCGCAGGTGCTCGCCGGGCTGGTTGGGCTCTAAAACGAGATTAATCTGGTATTTAGCAGGGTAGTTACATAGGCTCGCCCCGTCCAGGTCCCCTGAGGGAGCCGTCTGTTGTGTAAGGGCTTGTTGGATGCTGCCCTTCCCTCACCGGTCGGGGAGCAGCCGGGGGTCCACGGACGCGGAGAGCGCCGTCGCTCTTCGGGATCCCCTCGCCCTTCAGCGGCGAGAGGAGGCGCGGCCGCGCAGCGAGAGTGCAGCG